CCGTCGGATCCCCTGGAACTGGAGTTACAGACAGTTGTTAGCTGCCATGTGGGTGCTGAGATTCGAACCCGGGTCTTCTACAAGAACAATAAGTATTCTTAACCACTGAGCCATCTTTCCAGCCCCAGGCCCTACTTCTTAAAGGTTCTACAACCTATCCGAACAGTGCACCAGCTTAGGATGAAGTGTTCAAATGTGTGACCTATGAGGGGCATTTTAAATTCAAACCATAGAGCTGGGTGTGGTAGGGTATACCTTTAATCTCAGCATTTGGGAGGCAGAGGCAGGCAGATCTCTGTTTCAGGTCAGTCAGGGCTACACAGTAAGACTGTGTCTCAAAAAAACAAAACCAAAACCAGTAACAACCCCCCCCATTGGATTCAGATTAAAACCATATATATATATATATATAATATAATATAAATAAAAGAATTAAAATCCAAGATTTTAATTTATATACCAGTATTTATAGTAGCATGCAATAATCAAATGGCAGAAACGTGTTCATCAACAGACGGATAAATGAATTGCAATATACATATATATGGAATTAGTTATAAAAGAATATTATACTACACATGCTACAACATGGACAGAACTTTTTTACATTTTTTTAAAAAAAGAAATAAGCAAGACACATGGAATAAAAATTGCAGGATTCCACGGATTTCAAATGTTTTAAAGTAGACTAATTCACAGAGAAAGAAAACAATAGTTATCAGTGGTTGGGGAAAGCAAGATGGAGAATTGCTGCTTAATAGAGTCTCTGTGGGGATTATGAGAAAGTTTTAAAAATGGATTAAGTGGTGGTAGCTGTACTTAGTAGCAAATTAGTAGACACTCAAAATTAATTAAGTTGTTTAAAAATAGAATGTATATTTTATAGTCACTAAAGTGCAGATTCAGATCAACTCTGCTTTCCAGAAATGTGATGACTATGATAACTGCAATTTTCATTTGGCACATGTACTAGCACATACAAGAGCAAGGAATATGTGACCCATAGATCCAGAAACAGTGCTTCTATCTGGTGCCTAAAACATGAGGGTAGTGTGAGTCTACATTTCTCAGGAGTCACAAAAAAAAACCTATTTGTTAAGTATACCTCAAGAAAGCTGGACAAAAATCTTAAGATGCAAACAAAACAAAACAAAAACCTCTTAGACATCTGCAACACCTAAAAGAAATGAATGAAATCAATGAAAATAAAATAATTCTATTAAGATTTCCCCCTGGAGATTAAATAACATAGCATCTAGAAGAGTCAATACTAGTATATTGGTCCTGCTGTCAAAACATATTCTGAAAGGAAAAATAAAATCGTGGAAGGAAAACCCCAGCACTTCTCAAAGGCTGTAACTGCTTATTAATGTGCACAGCTCCCTGAGGCTGTGTGGCATTAGATGGCAACAGGTTTTCCTTTCCAGAACCTTATAGGACAAGAGATTTGCTGCTTCATCAGGTGGGAGCTCAATCAGCAAGATCTCTTCTGAGTGTGACAGCAGCTTGGCATAGTTTCCTATGTGATACATACAAGTAGGTACAAAGGGAGAAGCTTGTAAGTAAAGATGCTACAGCAAGGACTACACCTTAGAAAGAGAGCTGGATGTTGCTACTTACTAACTTTGAGCACTAAGGCATCTGAGAAAATAAGCTTGGACTGCTCCTAAGTATTGTAATAATTGCTCCAAACAGAACAGCCGACTGATAATCTGGATTACAGATGAGGGCTCTGCTGACACCATAAAGCTAAATTCTTTAAGGACTTTTGGTTTTTTGTTCTTCTGACGGGAGTTTTTCTGCATATCCCGGCTGTCTTCAACTCATGATCTTCCTGCCTCAGCATCCTGAGATCACTAGGGTGCGTAAGTTTTAATGAATTATCCTGAAGGACCTGGTATCTGTTGAAATTGTATCTCAAGATGTCAGTAAAACACAATAGTGAGGAGATTCTGAGCTAGAGACATCAATGGAATTATCTACCCAAGAAAGTGCCTGGGTAAGAGGTTATAAAGAAAAATGCAGTTGTCTAATGTCCTTAGTCCTGGATGTTAACCGACTATCAACAAACCAGGGATGGGTTCTCTCCTTGAACATGTGTCAATATGTACAACTTTGGCAGGAACATACAATGGCT